GAGAAGGAGGAGGAGTAGGAGGAGGAGGAGGAGGCGGCAGCAGCAGCAGCAGGGTTAGCAGTAGCAGCTTAGTGGCATTAGCAGTGGCAGTAGTGGTAGCAGTAGCAATATAGGAGGAAGAGGAGGACGGGGAGGAGCAGGTGGAGTGGGAGTATTTGTACAAGTACGAGTAGGACTAGGAGGTGGAGGAGTCATGGTCGTCGTCGTCGTCGTCGCAGCCGCAGTATCTCACTGCCGTCCCTTAGCAGCTACCACCTTGGTATTTGCACGTTACTTGATGGGGCAAGCCGAGTGAAACCGAGGAAGCCCCACCAGAGTATATCGCCAAAGTCTCCGGCCTGAGCGGATACCAGGACAGAGGTTTCTGGCCTGGACATCGGGGCCTGAGGCCTCAGGGCTTCAGGGTATGGATCCAGCAGTGGGGTTGTTGCAGCAGCCTTGTGAAGGACCTGCTGATGGAGCTGCTCTGCTGCAATTAGCATCGTACCACTGAAGGGCCGGTCGTGCTAACCCGCGCTGCAAGCTTCGAGCTTCTGAATCCCCAATCCCAGAAGCCGCCTGGGGCAGGAAGTGCAAGTTCCTGTCCGAGACCATCGGGCGTGGCGGCTTCTACATCTTTCAGGGAACTCTCTGGCTCTGCTTTGCGTCCCTGGCTTGGTCTTGGAGGGTCTGGTTTGCTCACTGTTGGGATGTTTATGGGTATGTCGGTATCATCCCTACACTCGAACCAACAAGGATCATTCGGAGGTAAGCAGTGGCAAGGTGTAGCGTGCGTCTTGAGGCCTTGCGTCAGGGTACACGCAACTCCGCACCGTGAAGGGACATGCACGGACCTTCAATCCGAAAAAAACCTTCACCCACAAATCCTCAGGTTGGCAGGGCTGATGATGGTGAGGATAATGCGGATGCCAATGGCCAGCAGCAGCAGCAGCAGCAGCAGCAGCAGCAGCAGTGCTACTACTACTGCCACTGCTTTTGTTGCTGCCACTGCCGCTGCCACTGCTACTGTTGCTTCTGTTACGACGACGACGACGACGACGACTACTACTACTACTACTACTACGGAGACTAGTACTGCTGCTACTACTGCTGCCACCAGTGTTACGATTACAACAGCTTCGATTACATACTCCCCGTCACACCAACGCCTGTAAGAATGAACTTCTTATACGTTGAAGCGTGTTGAAGCCACCATCCTTGCCATCATCACCACCATCGCCACCCTCAGCTGCAAGCTTATCATCATGGTCTTCACCATCATGATTGTGTCAGTCGCTGCGAGCACTTCGCTGTCAGATCATAGGTACTTCACTGGTACCAGTAGTATCACACTAGTAGCTGCAGCAACACTAGCAACCAGCAGCAACCAGGATAATGAATGTGCTGACGATCGTGATGCTGACAGTGACCATGCTTTGGGTACTTGCGGGTACGTCTTGATAAGGAACTCGGGCTGAGGAACATGTTACATGTTGTGAAAGGTTATATAGATTGGGATGATTGACAATATTGTTAAGAAAAGCAGGAGTTAAGAGAAAGATCACGATGCTACGACAACTTTCATAGTTTGACATACGACACAAGGACAGCAAAAACGGTAATGATGATAAGAACACATAGCCTTCCCAGAGAAGTAAGGGCATTATTTATTAGTTTACTATGTTTAGTCTGAGGGCTGGAGTGGCACGCAAGTGACAAGGTCTCTGACAGACATCCTTGACCTGGCAGCCGGCTTCGCCATGGTGCCTCTGCGCGAAAGTGTAGACCTGGTCTCCTGCTCCTTTTACCGCCAAGTGCCACGGAGGAGGCTGCTGCTTGTAACTGCTGTCGCAGCTGCTGCTCCTTCTACTGTAGCGCTAAGTCCTACTACCTGCCACTTAGCACCGCGACTGTTGCTGCGAACGACGACCATGAGTTTACTGCAGCATATGTCTGCCGGGTCATCTCTCAGTCCTTGATGCCACGAGGTGTGCTGTGGTATCTTGAACCTGCTCATCCATTTCGGAGGCGCCTGAAGTACCATCCTCCATAGCCCGACCGCAGACAAAGCCCAGCGTTGCAGGGATTTACGGCAGCGTCGTTTCCATTGCAGCCAGGCTTTGCAACCTTCGCCCAGAAGGTGAAAGCGGGATACAGTGCTGTGGGCGGCCAGTGAGCCCTGGTAGCTAGAGTGACTAGCCGGAGGATTTTCTTCTTCGAGGGTAAGGACATCCAGTCGTGGCCAAGCTCAACTCGGTTTTCACTGGACGTGCTACGACATGCCACGTTCCTACCCTCAAAGCCCTCCCCCTGAACCCGTCGATGCCGGGCAGGACATGGACTCTTACCCTTTGACGTAGACACAACGGACACAGGGGTGCAATCGTCTCATCGTTCAGCCTTGTTTGTTTGCTCCTCCTTCCTGTATCTGCTACCTTGTTGACGAGCCATCTGCTGTAGAAGGTGAGTTTCGGGTGGCTGAAATATGAGCAGTGGAACCCCGAGATATTTTCGCGCTTTCAATTTCACCGATGCCTCCTTGCTGAACGAGCAAGCGATTTGTTAGTACGATCGAAAGTTTGCTTCTTGACTTGCGCAGCCCACATGACACCGAAACCAATCTGTCTAGATGCTGCCGTCGATTACTTGGAAGAGATAAGAGTTCCTTAGATGGAGGCCCTTGTTCGGGACTTGCCAGCTGCAGCAAAGTCGCAGCTTGCGGTTCAAAGAATTGCAATGCCTCCTTTCAGCATAGAGCAGCTGTGATAAAGCGCCTCTTCTGGTTCTGAACTTCCCGAACCCCGCGAGAGTTTCAGTAGACTTGGGTCGGAGCCTTCCAAAACTCAGCTGAGCCGACATGCAAAGAGGAGCTGCTCGACTCCACCACCGCCAGCTCGACCGGCGAGGCATAAGATCTTGACATCTTGAGTAGGGCTTCGGGCTTAAACACAGGGCTTCTTGATCTGTCGAGGCTGAGAGTCTGTTTTGTTTGTGCGGTGCCGGGACAACGTCGAGAGCAGATCCTGCGTCTTCGGCCTTGACATCTGAGCTTCGACGCTATCTTGAGGTAGACCCTGTCAGGCCTGTTGGTGTCAGCTGGTACAAAGCCGGTGAATTCCTGGAGGAAGGAAGCCCGGGGTCAGGTGGAGCAAGCACACCTCAGCAGCACGAACGAGCTGCTGACGCCCGGGCCTCGGTGTCGGGTTGCGGGTACAAGGTTTAGGCCTTTGAGACCGCGAGGCAGATGAAGAACACTTAAGCTTCTGGCACCTCCTTGGCTCTAAGTCTCCAAGAGGCTCGCGAATCAGCAGGCATGCTCCATTCCTCTTAGGACTTTCGGTGGTGATGACGAGTTCTCCTTCGTGAACCAGTCGAGCCCACAGGATCTTCGATCCCAGCCCATGCTCCGGGGTTGAGGGTTTAGGAGTGGACTCGAGTTCAGGCGCCTCCCTGAGTTTGAAGCCCTGAAGTGGCCCTGAAGCTCAAGCTTGAATCCTGTTGTGCCACCGGTGGCTTGGGCTTCCTTTGGCCATGCAGGAGCTGGAGACACCTCCGACGAAACCGGTCCAGAAGCTGGAGGTGCCAAGAGTTGGGGAAGTTGTTGGGTTTAGGGCCAGGTCTCATACAACGGCGTAAGACTTGGAGTGTAAGGGGAAAACTGAGCCCTTTGTAACGCCAATCAGCCCTCTTTTCGACAGGTTCCGGCATGTGCCCAGCGTGCAGCCTTCAAGGAGAAGGTGTTCTCCTTCGGGGCCCAGGACGGTCCTTTGAGGCTGCAGATGTCGTGTCAGAACCGTGGGGTGGGCGTTCTGGGTTGCTTGGGGACGTGGAGCAATGGCATAGCAGCATAGCCCAACTGTGAAGCTTGTCGATGCCTTTCTGAATTTTTTGTTGGATAGAAAACCTTCCAGAAACAGGACACGACAGCCTGATCCCTCGGCATCCTAGGCTAGGCCATAGAATCCTCAATCCTGGGAGCACAAAGTAAAGCGAAAAAAAGCCTTGGCAGAGCCTTTCGCCTCGGGAGGAGGAGCCCGGCTTTGTCCACACCTTGGAGACCAAACTCACTGCCGACCTCCAGGCGAAGTCTGAGTAGGAAAGGTTTCGTGTGCCTGTCTCAGTATCATTATCAGCAGCAGAGATTAATGGAGCCACGACGCTTGCGAAGCTCCATGCCCACTGGCGTCTGAAGCTTCATGCGGTAGACATCGGATGCCTAAACCCTGCCGAGGGATGGCCTGCCTCTCTCTCTCTCTCTCTCTCTCTCTCTCTCTCTCTCTCGCTCGTCATGGTGATGTTGGTCATCATACGCAGAAGTTCGAGAAAGGTCCTCGCAGCAGCCGAACGTCCCAGAACCCTACAGTTCAAAAGTCCTCAGGCAGTAACAAAATTCGAAAGCCCCAGAGTCTCTCATATCCTTCTCTTCTCGCTATCGGAGGCCTCCGCTCCGGTCACGAGGGAGGACCCCTATGAGATCCGGAAGCCCAAAGGCGCCCACCGAGCTCGGTTGGGTTGGGTCTCGGGGACTTGAGGAGCTTGGATTTGGGGTTCAGGGCTGACGGGTCTTGCGCTGGGTCTTAGAGTGTTGTGGGCTTTCTGACTTGAAGGTTCATGTGTTGAAGTAGGGTTAGGCATATCTTGCTTGGAGAATCTCGTTGAACTTGTGGAGACCCTGCTTGCAACCGTATCTAAAGGTCCACGGTTGGGGCTTGATTTTGAGCATCGTGGCACAAGATCGACAAAAGTATGCTAGGAGCCTCGTCGTGACGTTCAGGCCTTGCGGTTTAGGGTGTAGGGCTTCCAGGTACCTGCTAGCTGCTAGACAAAATCCACTCATGTGAAGAGTTTGGGATTTCGGTTTTAGGTTTCACACCTGTGCGCTCAGGGCGCTATGCAGATGGCCCAACGCCTGTCAAGGCTGGGGTCGCTAGGGGCAGATTCCTCCAAGGCACTTGGTACTTTAAGCCATGTCTGCCGCATGTGTGCCGGTCTCGATGATGAGCTCCTTTGGGTGTTTTTTTGGACAGCTGTGAAAGAGCAAGGAAAGCGCTGCTATCCATCAGCGGATCCCCGGCCCCGTAAGATCCCTGAAAAGAAGAAATCTCTATCTCCGACAAGTTGGAGCTCAAAGACAGGAGGGCTCGGCCGCTCGGACCCCCAACACGAATGCCACTCGACTGCAAGCCGGCTCTGCTGGAAAGAGGGGGCATCCAGGATGGCATGCACTGCTTCAAGAAGAAAGCGCGCCAAAATCCTGTACAAACCTCCTAAAATTGGCCCTAAAGCCCTGTAAAAATCCTTTAGAATTGGACCTAAAACCCCTCGCGTCCTTCTCAGATCCGGCTGCCCCGGCTCGGGGAGTTGCCCCGCTGTCCCGTGGTGAGCCGGAAGTCCTTCAAGGTGGCTTTGACGGATACGCAGGGCTCAGGTTTTCTGGGGGGCAGGGGGGGTAAGAGGGTTCTGGTGGGGTTTGGGATTGTTTGGGGGATCTTGTTGGGGGGTTGAAGGGTTTCAACGTTGGAGTTGGAGGGTCGCAGGGCTGTCGCCTTGAAGGGATTCACTGGGGATATCGCTGCGAAGATGCAGAGGGAAAAGCATGGGCTATCGCCCCTATATGCTGATTCAGAACCCACGTCACAACACTGAGTTTGGGATAATGCTGGGGATTCAACGGGTTGGTGCTTTGCTGTACTGTGACGGTATTTAGCGCTAATTACATCTGAGCTCCGAATCGTTGGATGGATCTAATGGCGCATGAGAAGGTATCTGAGTAAGACACCGGAAGCTTTCATCTGCAGTGTGTCGGTTATGCACAGACAGATCACCAAAAAACCAGCTCCCCAAACTACCCCCTAAACCCCCGAAACCTGAACCGCACAACCCTGCAGCCCTACACTGCGAGGCATCGGACCGCGTGCTTGGCTGCCCCGTGCCCGAGTACGCCGACGTGCTTCGAGTCGTCCAGGCACTCTCCGATGCCCACGCATCACATTTCTAATGGCGCGTCCTGTGCCGGTTATAGTCTGACATTCTGAAGCCTGTTATCTTACAGTGTAAGATTGGTTCGATCAGATTTGTATAGAGGTCGCACAAGAGTTCACAGAACACTCGTGTTAAGGGCCACGTGTGGTTGAATCAGATTCATCGGCGAATCAAGCAACCACCGCGAAGACATCTGTAATGCACAACACGACATGACATGGCATGACTTTAAACATTACACTATGTCATACGATATTTTGAAAAGTAAAAGACTGACCCAGCTTGCCCAGGCGCAGCTCGTGATGGGTCCCTGGCCGGTCGAGATGCCTTGGACTTCGATGCTTTGCTCATTGCTGTGCTGGTGACCACCGCTGGATTCACCTCGGGAGGGCTTTGGGCTTTGGGATAATTAGAGCTCGGTGGTAGAGACGCTCTTCCGTAAACCCGCCTGTGCAGGCTGGTTTCACCGTTAGCTGTTGAAGCCATCGTTGTTCAGAGCAGCCAGAATCTCAAGGCTGCGAAAGTTCGAGTGTGCCAGGTTCCTTCCATACCTACTGCTCGTGGCCGCAGTGGTGCCAGCCGCGGTCTTTGCTCTCCACAGAGAGGCCCAATCGAAGTTGCGCGATCCACATTTCCTACTGGTCTTTTGTACTCTCGCCCGGCCAATGCCCTTGGATCCTTCGCAGGCCTTCCTTGTGATCGCTCCCCTTGCCCTGGCCTTGCACGTTCTGCAGGAGCCGGCAAGAAAAGGGCTTGGGCGATTTCAGGCTTCCGGGTGTGAAGTGCAAGAATCGGTGGTCGGAGTTTGTGGTTTGCGATTTGGCTGGCGTCACCCCTTCTTGGCATCCGGCGTCTGTTTTGACAGCTTTGCCGGCCGATGGGCCCCAGAGTCCTCCACGTCTTGATTGAGCCATGCTAATAGCTGCGACGGTGCACGGGTTGGAGGTGTTTCGGGGAATAATCATAATATCCTAATCATCATAATCTCATAATATCACAATCATAGGTTGCAGGGTGGTCCGTGTGGTCCGCCGGGCTTCTTGTCTCAACAGGTGCTTTTGGATAGAGGGGGGTCTCGGAGTCCCTAGGGCAAGGCGACACCCTAATACTAAGGGATTTCATTTAAGTTACCATAGTAAGCCATAGTAAGGAAGCCATATTATTTACTATAGATCCCTATTCTGGTAACCTAAACTTAATCCCCTAACAAGAACCCAGTATACCAAGATCCCAAGCCCGAGTGCCTTCAAGGGATCTCTGCGCAAACCAGAGTAGAAACGCTTGAGGCCTGCACCCCAATGTAACCCAAAGGGTCCTAAGTATGTACAGAGTCGAACGTAGGGCTTTTAGGACCCTTTCGGTAAGCAAATGTAAGCAAGCCCACCAAGAAACGAAGAAGGGCAGTCCCCCTAAATCCTAAACCCCTAAAACCCCTAAAACCCACCAAGAAAAGAAGAAGGGAAGCCCAGAGACAGCAAGGCCCTCCGCCGAGGGCTCTGGGATCGCCGGCTGCTGGTGTCAGCCAGGGGCCCCTGGAAAGGCTGGTAGGACTTCGTCGCAAGTTTCGACTAGGCTTTAGGGCTTCCAGGGTTTAGGACCAGTGATGCTACATGAAGCTCTATGAATAGTACTCATCATCAACGGCCTTTCCGGGTTGGCAGGGAAGATCTTGTTGTTCTAGACTCTTACCAGCTTAAAACGTAGGAGGGGGTAGAGGAGTTTTAGCTGGGCCCTAAACCCTAAACCCTAAACCCTAAACCCGTTGGGCTCTTGGGGTCCCGGAGGCGACAGCCTGAAGAGCCGAGGGCCCCAAGCCCCGGAGCTCCAGTGAGAGTGTGAGTTTCGGGTAGTTCTCGAAGTTAGGGGGTCCCTTTTTAAGGGTCCCTTTTTTGAGTTTAGGGTAGTTCTCAAACTTCGGGTTCCCTTCTTTAAGGGCCCTTTCCTTTGGGTGCCATAATTACTATATTTGGGACCTAAATATTGGGACCCAAATGTAGAGAACTCCACGAGGTCGATCAGGCGGCTGCGGCTGACCTCAGGGACCAGCTGAGGGCACCCCTCGGCTGGGGCGAAGATGGCGCGGACCTTAAGGGGTTAGGGTTTAGGGGTTAGGGTTTAGGGTTTTGGGGTTTAGGGTTTAGGGTTTTGCTTCAGGGTACCTGGCCTTGACTTAAGTAGGTTTACAATAAAGCACCCACTGGCATCCCAGTTTGGCAGAACCCAGCACTATAGAGTCACCACAGTGGTACTATAGAGTCACCACAGTGGTGTAAGGGTGTATGTCTTCCCCAGACATCCCTCGAATCATCCTTTTAGAGAGCTCAGGTCAGCTCTTCTCCGCAAACCTGAGTGCGGCCCTGCAGGCTGGGTTTGGGGCTGTGAGCGGCTTTCGGCTTTCGCACACGTGACGAATGTTCAAAAAAAGAGCTGAATCATCTAGTGATAGCTAGTGAATCTACAGAACTTGCACTTTAGTGAGAGTGGCCAGCCCACCATCCTCGCGCAGCATCGAGACGATCTAGCAGGAGTTCAATACTCCGAGCCCCTCGATACGAGCCAGGAAAAGCGCCACCCAAACCTCTATAGGGGCCCGCCCTGCAAGATACTTCGCAAGACGGCCCCCTTTTCGGGCAATGCCTGGCTAACCATTCCGGTCCAACCAGCCTTTTTTGTAAATTGCAGATGGATGCAGAAGATAGATCAGCGGCAAGGGTTCCAAACTAGTACCTTAAAGGGGCTGCCTGACCTGACTTCAAACATTCAATTCAAAGATCCTCAAAGCAAACGAAGACAACCTGAAGTGCCGCTGAATGCAGGCCTTCAACTTGGCCCCCAATGCTCTGCTTCTTCCGGCCCCAGGCATTTGACGCCTTTTTGGGGCTCGATTTGAGGGTTGGGTTTGGGCCACTGGGATTCCTCTAAGAGGTTGTTGGAGCTGCTTAAGATTAAAACTCCGTGTCGTGCCGGATACGTGGCATGCCTGCACGTCTCCTGTAGATCCTTGCGGCCTTGGATGCTTTCGGCCTGGACTTGACATGAAACCCCTCGACCCTCGGCGAAGTGCTGCGGAGGGACAGCTATTCTTCGAACTCTGGTTTGCGCGAGGTTTGCATTGTGGCCATGGTCGGTGTGTATGCACGGTTAAAGCCAAAGCTTGGCCATGAGTGGCCGGCTGTAGGATGTTTTGTGCGAGATCCTCTCCGGCCGGAGCATCCTCTTTGAACCGCCCTCCACATTCAGACGGGGTCCACTCGTGGTTTGGGCTTCGGTGGTGGGTTCGGTGTCTTCGAAGCACGTTTTAACATGGAGGCCGCCGGGCGTGGGTGCGCTCGTTGCTGTGGCACCCTGAGTTGTGGGATTTTTGATTAAGACTGAGTCCGATCGGAAGTAATTTGGAGATCAGTGGTGGGGGCTTGCACGGGGTTCAGTCCGCGTCCCGGAGAAGGATGCAAGAGTATCGAGCATGTGAACCGTCTGATGAGTTTCTTGCGACCGGAGCTTTCATCTTGCCGCACTCGCAGGTTCGCCTTGTTTCTTCTGATGCCTGGGGCGGGACTGCGAATCTCGTTCCTGGATCTCGAACCGCCACCACTCTGGAGCGAGGCATCATCCTCAGAAGACTAAACCTAGACATGATGGGAGAGAGGGCAGAGAGGACGCGGCGAGCGAGACAGAGCTATGCCCAGCAGGGAGGGATGCAGCGGCTAGGAGGAAGAGAGGCGAAGAGGCAGCAAGAAGAACAAGCCGCTTCCATTCCACTCCAGAAAGTGCGCAGAGGTGGCCGACCCCACCTCTCAACCGGCAGAGAAAAAAAGACGGTGGCATGCCTTTAAAGTGCTGCAAAGGGCACGACTCTCATGGCGTTCAGGTCGCTTTGGTCGCGCTTTGCTCCCTGATCTTGGTGGCAGTGCAGTGCCGTCCTTCGCAGGCTTGACTTCACACGCTTTCAAGTAGGACGGTCGGGATTTTAATTTTTAATTTTTAACATTCGATCAGTCTGCATGCTTTCGTTTTGGCCGGAAGACAATTGTCCGAGCTGTTCAGCCCAGCAGCCCCAGCCCTCGGGATTGAAATCCGCTACAACAGATGGCAATAGTTAGCCATCATGGACATGTGGCTTATCACCGTTACCATGGTTAGTTCAATCCAAACCAGGATGATGACTGTTACCATCATTGTCCTCATGCGCATAGAAAAGGCTGAGCCAGTGCCTTGTCATCGCTACTAGTGTCCCGGTGATAGCATGGTTGCTATTGATATGCGCGGTGTTGTTCTTGGTTTAAATGATACCATGAGTGTTGTCGTCAAGACTCTTACTGTGAGGATGATTCTGACGACATGGCTAAAGAAGCATCCTTCGTAATGGTTTCGTCGTTTGAAAGTAATAACTGCCCTGATTGTTGATGTTGCTTTTCGTGGATTACAGAGGATGGGCTCTACGGTGTCAGGGTCTCTTCCTGGGCCTACCAGGGCATGTTTGTCAGACCTACAAACCGCGTGGCTCAGCTCCCGTGCCCGACACTCCGCCTCAAGCCCCAATCTTGGCGATGGCCCTGAACTCAGCCCAGACCCTGAAACTCTAAGCCTTGCATTCCTAGACCTTGAATACGCCCCAAGCCCCAAGCCATCGACCATACATCCCTTAAACTGTAGACCCTGATCCTCAGACCGAAATCGCCAGGTCGGTAAACTCTACAACCCAAATCGTAAATGAGTCATGAATCTGACCCTAGATTCCAGGAGCTTCCGCGTTCAGAGCTCGTCGACCAGCGGTTGGAGGCGAAGAGGGGAAGACGGGGTGGAGATGCTTCGTTTGTGCCTGGGATTCTTTCTGCCTTTTGGGCTTTTTTTTGGGGGCTTTTAGGATTCACTGATTAGGTTTGGGCTTATTTAGGGTTTAGGAGATAAGCTTCTAGACTTCCAGGGTTCGAGCAGGAGATTGTGGGCATGCCTCACGCGTCCTTGCAACTTACGGCCCTGCACTTTTGCTTCGTCTGAGGCCTGGGCTACGCCCTGGACCCCAAGCCTAAATCCGTATTAAAAACCCCTAACCCTAAACCCTAAACCCTAAACCCTAAACCCTAAACCCTAAACCCTAAACCCTAAACCCTAAACCCTAACCCTAAACCCTAAAGCTCTAGCCCCAAAGGCTCTGGAAGCCGGTTTCAACGCGATGCTCGACACCCTGCGGCCACTGCTTGGCCAAAGCGGCAGGCGCTGTGGACGTGACCATGTCAAAGATCCCTGTAATATTTTCAGTAATGGTAATAGTAACAGTAACAGTAATAGTAACAGTAATAGTAACAGTAATTGTAACAGTAATAGTAGCAGTAACAGTAATAGTAATAGTAAGTAACAGTAACAGTAATAGTAATAATAATAGTAACAGTAATAGTAATAGTAATCTCCGATGAACCCTTTTTGGTTATCTGGTCGCGATCCCTTTACCCTTAGCATCTGCCGCGCTGGCAGGCCCACGTTTGGCAGTCAAGCACAGGCCAAGGCAGGCGTGAGATGCCGGGAGACCTACCTTTGGTTAGTAGGGAATGGAGGAATGGGAACTATTATAAGTACCATTACTACCATTCTTCCATTCCCTACTAACCAAAGGTAGGCAGAAGCAAGTGTGGAACTCTGCTGCTAGGTTTTGTTGCTGTGTCGCTTGGGCTCTTGATCCCAATGCTAGGCAAGCAGCCCTAAACTAAACCCTAAACCCTAAACCCTTTCCCCTGCATCCCAGAAGGGATTGGATCTGACATTTTCATAGGGGCTCTCACCGTGTGTCTTTGCCGAGGTGACTGGGAGAAGCCAGGTTGAACATGTCAATGACTTTGGTGCCTGCGTCAGGTTCCAGGGGGCATGGACCAGCCCGCTGTGCTCGAGCGTTTCGGTGTGCACACCTTAGTTGCTTTAGATTTCGCAATGCGAGGGACCGTCCTCTCGTGTCCATGTTGAAGTTGAGGTTGAATCCAAGCATGGTGGCAGTATTCAGAATTTCGCAATGGCACTTCCGCTTGAAGCTTGCAGGTACAGACAGGTGGATGTTGACGATTCGTCGTACGTCTAAGGAGATCTCGACAGCTTAGGAGTACGGCCTTCACCGCTGTTTGCCACTACAGCCGCCGGAGCTACTGAGTCCAAGGTGAGGTTGATCACCGCGGAAAGGTTCACGCTCCGAGGGAGCCTCACAGTTCTGCAGGACATCCTTGGCCGACTGCCAGGGTTCACAGCCCTTCAGAGTCGATGCGTCCTTGGGCCCGCTTGTTTTGGTCGGAGGAATATAGACGGGGCTCCGTCCGGTCATACTTGCCAGCGAAGCACTGTGTAGTTCAAGACGCATCAGAAAGTGTTGTCAGCACAGATCGGAAGATGTGCCTAACGGCTCGTTCCCAGTCATTGGACAGCAACTTGTGCACAGCAGGTCGCTAGCCGATGCTCGCTCTTTTGAGGGGCTTCTCTTCCCAGCGCCCCAAAGCCAAAAGTCCCAGGACTGTCAAAGACCTCCACCCTTGCTTAGGTGCATTTTCGCACTCTGGCAAACGACCTGTAACCCGGAGGGACACCACAGATGAAGCCAGCCATTCCACGCAGACCCCGCAGCCCACCACAACCAAAAGCCGCGCGTGTGTCTTTGTATCTGACAGTAAGATGACTTAGACTTGCACTCATACTCCCAAACTTCTTGCGTGAGGTGGGATTGAACAGGACGAGTGACAAGCCTCAATCACAACTTAAACTCGTAAACCTTCAAAGATAAATGGCTGCTGCAATCGCAGGAGCAGTGCAGCATTTTGGTCAGCTGCCCGCTGGGGGACTTCGACCTCGTGGCCAATGGTTTGGAAGGTGGGGAATCATCTTCCGTTGGATTTGGAGTGTAGGGTTTAGGGTTTTGAGTTTTGAGTGAGACATTCAAATTCGAAGAATGACCGTCACATGTCTGAAGGGGTAAACATGCATGGTATGGTCCTTTGATAGAATCTTCCATAGGTCGTGGTCATGAAATGTAGGTAATGACACCCCGCCGCCGGTACAGGCAAGCACAGCAACAGCCAGTCAGCGGTAAGCAGAAGACGGCTGTGTAGCAGTTTGTATTCTCAAAGCCGGGCTGCCTACCAAGGTGCCTTGTCCACAGATCTGGGCAAGACAGCCGCCGGCGAGGGCGAGTCGATGGCGCTGTCGCCTCCGGCCAGGGATGCTGGTAGCCGAGATTGGGTGCTTCAAGAGGGAAGGATCAGAGGTTTGGAGGCAGGCCTGGTGGGACTTGATGGGGTTCGGAACTTGGGGCTGCACGTCAGATTCAGAAGTTTTGTGGCGGGTCGAAAAGGTCCTCCCTGGTTTGGCGCCGAGGCCTCCGGATGGGCTGCCGCGCTGGCAGCACGGTTCACGCCCTGTGGCTGCAGCTGGTGCTGTAGAGGTTGCTGTATGGATAACTTTTTTCGAGAGTACTAAGAGCAACTACAGGGAGTTCCTGAGAAGAGAGGAGAAAGGCCATCACAGACATCTGCAGAACAAGCGCACGTACAGTACCTATTCGCAAACAAAAGGGTCTACAGACAAAACTACAAGGCATCCTCAAGGGTTCCCTGCAGTGACCCCTAAGTTGCACTCTCTGCATAGACACTTGAAAGAAGAACGCTGCGAGCAAGGAGCAGAGAGGCACGCCCACGAAGAGACGATGATCTTGCGAGCGTTTGGGGCTTGGTGCAGCATGAGAGGGTTTGGGGTTCGGGTTGAGTTTCGTGGGGACACGGTTCATATTCCCTGATGCTGGTATGCGAGGTTGCCAGGCTCTTCGCTGCTGTGGAGTGGACGACGATCCATCTTGTGAACTTGTTGCGGTTAGTGGTCTGTGACTCAGGTGTCGACCGCCAGCACGCTGACGCGAGGTAAAGGCCAGGTTGATGAGGCGCCATACGCTGCATGCAAATCTGAGGGAGGGCCACATTTCCTGCATTCTGAATCCTAAAAGACCTTGCCCTATACCTATAAGGACCTTTCACCGAGACAGTCTCAACAAGTCGCGACACAGACGCTTGTAGAGCATGTTTCTGCCTCAACCCTTGCAACCTAAACCCTAAACCCCTAAAGCCCTAAACGCCCAAACCCTAAACCCCCCTTTGGGCCCCCTCTCGGCGCCCCCGCCAAACTCCGACTTACAAAAGCCCCTGAGCTCTCGGAGGCCTCCTTGCACCTCGCGCTGGCCATGGTCGCGGCCCTGAGCCGCTGCGTGCAGCAGCCCCTGGAGGCCCAGAAGAGTCTACCAGCATTTCGGTGGTACTGTTGATGATCGAAATCCTGCATCACCTTAACGGCCCTAAACTATGGGAATTGTGGTATCTTCCTTATTATGGGTACTGCAGGATTTATATCATCAACCGCAGGACTGGGGCTCCGGCTATTTTCCTGTAAAGTTTTTGGGCCTCCCACAGAACATTGGGAGTGCAAGGCGGATCTGAGGTGCAGAAAGTCCCAGAAACAATCCCCAAACAGACCCCTCAACCTCAAAGCCCCGACCCCCAACCGGAACCAGGGTCCATGATGAGCTCTTGGGGTGCCAGGTTTTCAGCGCCGTGGGCTCCCACTCCGCAGTGGTGCCCCCTAAGGCGCTGCCGATGCGGGCGTCGGAACACGGGGCTTGGGGTCTGAGGTGTCAGAGAGAATATCAGCAAGGCTTCGTGAGGGTGGCTCCAGATTGTATGGTGGCGATGGCTTCCCTTTCTGATATGCGTAGTGACAGTAAGAACAGGACGAGAAGACCGCCTTCTGCCTCGGCCCTTCAATATATTTTCCGGCAGACTTCGCAACGCCGTTGCCGACCTAACATCCGATCCGGACCTTTGAAATCCCCGAATTCTGCAACCAAAACCCCTTACTTTTAACCCCAGCGCCTCAAACAAAGTGATCTGGAATCCCAGACCCTGGCACTCTTCAGCTTTTCCTCATTGGGGAGAGGTCTCCCATGACGAGCCTTCCCTGATCCTTGCCATGGCAGAGGCATTTCCGCACGGTTTGCAGGGCTTCAGACATGTTTTTCGGTGTCGAACTGCGAGTTATCATGATGATATTCTCAGATGGAAGCTCCGGAGATAGGATAGGGAGGACATTGTGAGATCGGGGTGATGTAGGACATCGGACTTTCGCAAGATGCGATGCTTCAAGGCGGAGATTACCGATCGGATTTGGGGCGTTGGCTTTTCAGGGCTTTTCTCATGCTCTGTCTTGGTTCTACTCTATTGTTGTGAGCAGGGAGGGATTGGTGGCATGGAGCAAGGATCTTTGTCAAGGAAGTCAACAAGTTTCAGGCAGTTTCAGGGGTTTCCTTTTTCAAGGCAGGTGCGAGGAGATTAGAGACCAGAATTGAGATTAGTCCAGGCTTCCCGGGCCCAAACTCACCGACCTACGACATCCCCCAACCGGTCCGTACAAGCTTGATTAAAGCAGCCGCTGCCTTTCGTAATCCAACGAGCCCGATCCCTTTGACCTGGGGTACCAATTCTGTTCCCTAAACCCTAAACCCTAAGCCCTAAACCCTATCGTGTGTATAGTGGTCTCCGACAATGACGACCCTGCCATCGAAGCCCGCGCTCCAAAGCTGCCGCCTGCAAAGCTCGGGCCCGAAGCCCCCCTCAAGCGGATCAGAGGACCAATTGAGCTGCCATCCGCATCGTTACGGCGCTGCAGTGGGCTCGGACGGGCTCGGAATCGGATCAGGGCTTCAGGGGGTGTTGAGACGGAAATCCTGCTGCCAGAAAGCCGAACGACTCGCAGCGAGTTTTGGTTACGGGGCGTTGAAAAGGGTGCTCCGTGTATTTGCTTTTGGTTCGTTGCCGGGAGGTGGGCATTCATGAGCCACAGCACAAGACTCGCTAGACACCCGAGCCGCTGGGGTCTGAGCCACCAGCTTGAAGGTTTCGAAGAGTGTTGGCTGCCCGGCGCCAAGCCGCCATTCCGCCTTGCGTACAGCATTACCGTGCTGGCGGGCAAGCATCATGTCGTCCAGCAGTCGGTTCCTTGAACGGCGCTCATTCCCATGCCACATGGGTGTGCTAAAAAGAATCTTGACGAGGCTGCCGGGAAGCCAGGAGGTCGGTGATCAAGGCGCTTCTTTCACATTCAAGGGCTTGAGAGCCGAGGGCACAACTTCTCTGTGGGAGCTCCGGACCTCCAAACCGCTGAGAGGAGCGCTTCGGCGTGGTCCGTGATCCTGGCGAGATGCGCCAGCTGTGCACAGACGAAGCTACGGGCTCAGATCTGGACGATCCGTAGCGGCGTAGTCACTATCATCCATTGTGCAGGGACCCCTCGTTGGAGCAGTAGTTCGTTCTTGAGACGGCTACACTGCCATCTACAAAGAACAGGTTCCCGCACGGGGCCCCACTTTCTGGCTGAGGAACTGGTGGGGCAGTCTTTTACTAGTTCTTCTGTGCAGGCGGGCATCCCATCTGCAGATGGGAACCTTCATACACAATTGTGACCGCAGCGGATAGGCGGTTTTACGGGTGTGATGGAGGGCAGAGATGTTTGACAGGTGGGAGCATCATTGATTCGTACTCAACCGTCAGAAAGCTGCAATCAGAATTTGTGTATCATGGCCTAGCATCATGTTGGCCGACACCGCCTTTCCTCAATGTGCACCTGTCACTGTCCTGTGACCATCCTTCCGAATCTGATTCGACCCAGAGCTAAACTCGAGCCGTTGGACACGCAGAAACCCGCCCCAAAGGAGTAACCACCGTTTTTTTGTGGGGTTCCATTGTCTCCTGAGCCTGTGCCACTTGGCGACCATGCGCCCCCATGGTTTGGGGCCTGGGGTTCAGGGACCAGATTCGGCTTTTCTCCGAGAAGCAGCTCCGAGACCCAACACCTTCAAAACATCACAGAAACTCTTCAATGCTGCGACACGTCGGACACCTCAGTGGCTGAACTTTCAACACAGTCCCTGCCAGCTCCACGTCGACGATTCGCCGCGAAGTTCGGCAGCGTCGCAGGGCAGCGGCAGCGAGGCCCGGGCAACGAGAGACCGGAGTGGGTCGTGAGGTTGGGTTTAGGGTTTAGGGTTTACGGTTTTAGGGTCTAGGGCGTCTAGGGTTTAGGGTTTTAGGGTTCAGGGGATGGAAGGTTTCCCGGACACCTCGGCGGGATCGATGCACGTACGAGCTGGAAGCCAGCCCTTTGCTGTTCCAGGGGCACGCGCACCTGGCAAGGGTTTTCGTAGCTTCAGTTCTCGCTGCCCCACCGCCTGCACCTCAACCAACTATACGGCACTGGACCGGTGGTCGTTGACCCAACCTAATTCTGCAATAACCATTGGTTTTGCTTATGGAGTGGTGTCGAGAATCTGCTGTCTATTCAGTTCCGATGACCCAACCGGCCAGGATGAACTGGGCCGCGCAGGCGTGGACCTCAGATTCCAACAGGGACATGGGGCAGCGGGGCTGCTGAAGTCCAAAGGAAAGCCACAGCTAACAGCCTGCCTCTTCGGGCTCCTGCTTCTTGTCGAACTTTGGCACACGAAGGAGGCAAGGTGCGGCAATGTAAGAAGCTCTATACTAGCATGTAGGTCCATGTAGGTATCTGTAGGTTGAGGGTGACTCAACTCGGGCTTATTTCGCTACCCTGCAGAGAAGCCGGAGTATGTCCATGACTTCTTTCCAAGCAGCATCACACTCTCGGGGAATCCCCCCCACAAGCCAAAAAGCCACTGGACGCTAAAGCTGAAACCCCAAAACTTTGGGTCCTGTCGCCTGAACCCTGTCCGGACATCGTTCCCCCGAGGTACAAAGTGGCCATCTTCCTCAAGGTGGCATCAGCTTTGTTCGTCAAGCATAGATCAAACATCTTCTTGAGTACCTTGGTGAGCAGCGCCACTGCTTGCACCGTTTACATGGTCTCCTCTTCTGATGGGCTATAAGGCATAGCCACTTCTATTCAGCTCTCATGTGTAGACAAGAGAGCTTGGGGGCCCCTTGCTTTACTTCAACTTCGTCATCTCGAGGGACCCTACGCGGGAACATCATCGCCTTTAGCCTCCACTGTGCCATGGAGGTCAAACAGCCGGTACACCAAGATCTTCTCTGGAGCCCCACGCCATCTGGTGCGGAACCCGGTGAAGCCCTACATAGAGCTCGGATCAACTTTGCCTACACCCTAAACCCCTACTCTACCCAACACCCCGAGACCCTTAAACCCTAAACCAGGCCCCAACCCCTCAACCAGGCCCTAAACCCTATATAGTAGCCATATCCCCTGATACTCAGAGCCCAGCCCATCCACGTCTTCGAGGCGCTGGTCTTCGACTCCTTTGCGGCCCGGGATCGCTGCCCGGGGCTCTTTGTTTCGGCTTTTTTGGGGCTCAAGGGGCTGTGGAGGTTTAAGATTGGGGGCAGGGTGTAGGGCCTAGGGTTCAAGTGTCAGGGGTGGTGACTCGGATATTGCACTATGATTTCTCCCCATACACTAAGGCCCCTACATCAGCTGACGAACCCCAAGCCCTGAACCCCATAAGCCCCAAACCAACAACCCTAAACCCCCAATATTCGGGCAGACACCACAACCCCCCCCCCCCCCCCCNNCCTCCCCCCCCCCCCCCGACACATAAAAAAAGCCTGGCGATATGGCTCAGGTCTGGAGCTGATCCGACAAGTTCTGCCGCTGCCCACGCCAACTGCCTCGGCCTTGGTTGGGTCTCACGGAGATTTGAGGCTTCAGTGCTTTTTAGGGTCAAGCCAACTTTCAGGTTTTCAGAAATTTGTAGGTTTAGGGCCGTTTGGGGTTTGGGATCGGTAGTATACGGTGGTATTGCAGCTGCCACCGCCGGACAAGCAAGCAGACACTCGCGCTGCCGGGCCACCCCTCTCGTACCGAACAAGTTTTAGCTAATTTTAGCTGTTGGATGGCAGCCTCATTAAAGCACCGCGATGCTTCCTTTCCGGCAAACAGATAGCTCTGTCGATGCGCTCTGCCCAGGCCAGCCGTTCCAAGTGCTTTTCGGCCTCGGAGTGAGTGGCCGCAGAAATTCCAGCACCTGGTAGTTGTGACATATATGTCAGAGAGTTTGAAGGCCCCGGAGAAATCGGATCCCATGTAACCTCCACTTGCAACAAAATCGAGAGCTGTGGGCCGTCGACCTTGTCGTGGGTGTGTGCAGCGAACACGAGACCGAAGTTTGAGCACAGAATCAAAAGCCGCAGTCGGTAGGACGGCGGATTCGTGAAACATCCGGGACCTTGAACTCGCGCTGAATTGAACTTCTGCTCGGGACCGTCCGAATGGACGGCTTTTAAGCGTTCATGAACTGGGCAGGTCCCCACCCCCCTGCATGCAACATCATATTGATCGACAGCCGAAGCCTAACTGAGCCCTTGCGATAAGGGGTCCTCGGGGATGGGGAGATGTCCACCTTGAGGGAGTGGCAGGCCATGTTCAGAAGCTTTTCACGACTTGAAAGTTCCTGCTGCTCCCACAAGGCCACAGGAAGTTGATGTCCAAACCGCTCACTGGAAACTGGCAAATACATAGCTACCCCGATTGCCAGGTTTGGGTCTGTTGCATAAACAAGTACAAGGTTGGGTTGAGAGGCCCGGTTTCTCCGGTGTGCTTTGTGTCGCGCTGTGCGCCCTGCTGTCTCACCTCGTAGCCAAGCAGGGGACGTGAACTGCAGGCACGCCCCTTGACGGGAGAGTTGCAGTGTAGTTGCAAGATGCCGCAGGTGACTGAAGGCAAGCACAAGTGCACCGGCTCTGAAACTAAAACCCCAAGGCAGCTCGAGCTGAAAGCAGAAGGTGTAGTTTGCACATCTCCCGTGTTTTGCTTCCGGGGTCTCTTGGAACGGGGCGGCCCCTTCTGGTCTGGTGGGACAAGGGCCAGCAGATGAGGGTGCAGGCTGGTAGTAATCAGGATGGCAATCCGAACTCACAGTGCGAAGTGCAGACGCGACCTGAGGCCTCAGACCGATTCCTGGAATCCCACAAACCTGCATCCTTGGCTGGCTTGCCCTGCCCTGTTGAGACCCGCTGAAGAAATCACTGGGGCTCGGCGGGGACGACTGCCGTTTTTTTGCTGGCTTCTGTCAGGAACCAAGAAGGCACAAACAGCAGAAGTGCTTCGGGCTGTAATCTCGGCTGTGTTTTTTTTCTGCTTAGTGCTCTCTGTGGTTCCCGCACTTCGTGCAGCCCTCCCGGTAAGGTCGCTGCTTCGATTCTAATTCTATACTACAGTAAGAAGGCTGACAGTGAGAAGTCTTTCAGAACGAGGGACCCTCCTCTCGGAAATGGGGATCCTCGGCAGAATGAGGAGCACCGGAGGCCGAAGAAGCAGTGCGTGTACCGTGCTTCAGTCTGGAGGCACGGCGAAAAGGGAGGGGCGACCACGGTGTTCCATCCGCACTTTTCCGGTGTGCGGCGCAGGAAGTGTCTCTTCGGGCCGAGCTTTGGGAGGGTGGGTTCCTTCGTTTTAGAGAGGCTTCCTGCTGCGAACCTCTGACACACGACCGTTCGATGGTCTGTACAGCCTTCGGCTTCTTCTGCGTTCTGGCGAAAAGCAGACACAAGACAGGTCCTGACAAGGTTTCTTTGGCTCGCTGTGAGAGCGGCCTCGCTCCGGCACGAGCCCCCCAAGTCCCCAAGCTCTAGATTGTTCTGCCTCCCTAAGCGTTTGCTGCCCAAAGTGACAAGCTGCTTGTGGCTGACGTTTGCCATGGCCTTTGTTCTATGGCGAGCAGGCGCGAGCGCGAGAGCTGCGGGGCGAAGGAGGTAAAGGGAAAGGGAGCCATTTTCACCCCAGCTGCTGAAGGTCTCAGAAAGAGCATCTTATCCTTGATAGCGTGTCACCTCTCCGTGCAGGCCTCGCGGCCATTCTCGGCGCTTGGGTCACTGCGGCTGAAGACGAGACATTGCTCGAAGGTGGACCTCAAGTGATCTCTTCCCGAACACTCATGTGTTATTCCAGCGGGCCATGGGATCAACTGATAGCATCATCTCATGGATGCACACACTGATTCAACCCTCCGAAAGCCCCCTCTTGGCCCTGCGGAGGCGATGAAAGCGGCCCAGGACCTGAGGCCTTGGAGTTTGCAACTGACACAACACATCGATTCGAGCAAGGTTGGGGTTCGAGATAGCTCAGCTTTGATGTTCTGCTGTCCCTTCTGCCCGGCGGTGTCGCTAGTGGTTCTACATTTGAAGCTTACATGCTCGCCCGCTTTTGCAGGTGCCAGTTTGAGTCCGACGCTCCGCGCGTGTACGTGGTAAGCATGCATGTACGCTGCGTACATGTCCGCACACGGGCGTGTGTGTGACATCTGCGTGTGCATTCAGCGTTTGAATTCAGCATAGAGGTTACACGTACTGGCTGATCTGGCACCCAGTCAGATTTGTGCATGACTCCAGGCTTTGCAGGGGCACTCGCACGCAGACCAGGAATGGTCTTTAATCTAAATTAGCAGCATCACCGGGACAGAGTTACTACCTGAGCAAGGTCGTCTATTTTGGAGCACTGTCGACGTAGCATCGGTCGTTGTGGCGGGATCGCTAGCCCGCTGTCGGCCTTGTGCAAACACTCTCCCCCTCCAAACCAGAACTCCAAACCCCAAAGCCGCAACTGTTATGCCTACGCCTCAACATGTAAGCCGCCGTGCACAGAACATCTGTCTGCAGGATGAGCCCGTCTATCCGGCGCAGGTGGAAGCTGGCGGTGCGTATGTCTCCAACAAGGAGACGATGGCTCAGGGCTTTTAGGGCTTGGGGACGAGATTTTCGGATTTGGGGGGGCGAAGGGATTGGGCCTGATTGGGCTGCAGGGACGAAAGAATTCCGGTGCTTAATGGCGAAGGTTTTGAGCGGAGGAGTTTCAAACCTTGCGCTGCGGAGCCCGGCGAGGTTCGAAGCTGCAGTTTGGAGCTGGTTGTCAAGATCGCCATGTAGACTCCGGAGTCACCCCAGACACTGTCCTCGCGATCCGGATCAGCAACTTTCAGAGTTTGAGCTGGAACCCGAACACCCAAACCCAAAGTTCAAGACCAGAGTCCCAAATGTCCCATAATGGTTGGCAAACGAAGGAAATCCTACACCCATGCCCGACCTTCTCAGACTGTCGCTGCATCGAGGAGGCTAAGGCATTCTACTGGAGATTGCAGATGAGACCTGTGCGAGAGGGTGAGATGCAGGCGATGTTGGGACTCCCGGCTCAACATGGCACGTAGACCGATCATGCAGTCCCAAATGTTGGGCTTCAGGATCGGAGCTCGAGCTTTGGTCACGGTTAAGACTCTGTTCCCTCGGTTATTGGGCTGAGGAGCTTCCTTCGAGAACGGCTGGCCGAACCCTTTCGGCAAGTCTGCCGAGGACATGAAGCAGGGTCCCAGAAGGAATATGCAGATAATACACAGTTGCAACCACGAGGCTTTTAGCAACAGAGAGTAGCCCGGCCTCCAAGCAGCGGAGCTGCAAGGACGTTGCGAGCTGGTTGTGGAATGACCTGCTGGCCAGCAATCCCTTCGGCAACTACGGAGTCCTGGTGCCCTGGCCCGAGGAGGACGACGACCAGCCGGGGGCCCCAACAGTTGGGACCAGAATTGACATGAAGAAAGAACACTTGTCATGGAACCGAGGCTCGGCCACGGTGGCTGGGTGGCCTACTCGCGAAGGCAGGTCTGCTATATCACGGCCAAGAGCTTCTTCGGTGGAAAGCTTTGGAACTACGACAGCGGACTCTTCCGGCTCATGGAGATGTGCCAAGGCGCCTGCGACTTCCGGGCTTCCTTTGCCACGCTCCTGGCAGCTTGCTCTGCAGACGAGACGCTGGCAGACGGCAAGCAGGGTCCGATGATCCTCACGGCAAAGGCCAATGCCGCACCCGAGGTGTCAGACGTGAGAGCCCTCGCGGAGAATGTGATTCTAGAATCCTCCGGGCTGCGCATTTGCGACTACGATGCCGGGGCCGGTGACATCTCAAATGCGGAGACGGTTCCTGAGTCCGGGTGCGTTCCGCGCACTGCCAGCAATCCCGGGGTCGACTTCATGACGGGAGGCCTGGAAGGTCAGGTTACTCAAGACATCTCTGCCTCGTGGTTTGGGGGCTATCTGTTTGATGCCAAAGCATGTGGCCTGGGTGGTGGACAAGACGAGCGCCTCTCCGTGTATTTTCCAGAAGTCACCGTTCTTGCATACTTCTTGTCGAGGAGCATGCCTTACCCACAGGTACGACAGCCCGTTTGGTTTTTGGGAGCTCGAAACTTCTTCAAGAACCTGGATGGCACCGCCCGCTTCGACTCCCCACTGGTTCTTTCCGACATTCCCGTCGACGATCGAGATCTCGAGACGATCACCCTGGAGGGAGCCTCCTACCAGATCGACAGGTCGAGGTCAGGTGCTTGCTCTTTAAAAGGGAAGGGAAGAAATCAAACAAGAAAGGATATTTAATAAAATATATTGATAGATTAATTCAAACATTAATTCAGGTCTCGCTTGCCCAGCCAGTGCAGCTTAGCATGGGCGCCTTGATGCAGGGACCTGGTCAGGCTTTCAACATTAGGATCCCCCCAACGAACCTTCACAGAGCTTTGGGGTCCAACATCTTGCGAGGCCAGTCGTGGTCTTCATGAGCGAGAGCCAGGGCTTCTTCAAGGAAACGAAGCATAACCTGGCACTGGCGCGGACAAACCGGCTACCGGGGCAGAGAGACATGAGTACTGGAAAGTTCGCGTTTGAGAAGCAGGCGGCTCGAACTATTTTGGAGGGATCGATGACGGCTGCAAAACCGAAAGTCGCTGAATTCAGCGCCAAACCTCGTAGGAGCCTCCTAGTGTATGCTGCAGCATGTAAGGCAGCTGAAGTCACCCCGCACATTTCAAGCAACCTCCTCTGCCTGCAAACTCGTGCGACCGGAGGTGCGGGCTTGGTACCGCTCCATGGCACTGGACTCCTACGATGAGGTTCGACTGTAGGCCTTAGGTAAAAGAAAATCGACCGATATATATATATATATATATATAGAGATATATGTATATGTATATGTATATGTATTTGTATATGTGTGTATAGATAGATGTTACCGTTGGCTTTTTGGACCTTTGGTTTGACCTCTTGGCGACCAAGATGTTGCTGTCGCAGGGTACACTGGCCGGAAGCCCCTTGAGGCCATTCGGCCCATCTTCAAGAAGTTGAGCCGCTCGTTGGGTGCTGGCCCATGGCTGGCCGGGCTTTGGCCTCTCGGCCTCCATGAAAACCCGGGTACCAAGAAGGCTTGGGAGGAGATAAATAGGCTCAACATGTAGGACTTAGGGACCAGGGTTCCGGATTTTCGGTCCAGAGCCCAGCTGATCGACTATTGCTGAATAAAGGTTTTAAAGGAAATAATCGGATTTTTTCGAGTGCTAGGGGTCCTTCGTACCCAGCAGAGATAATTGAAGCCTGGGGCCCGGCATTTTGAAGCATGTCCTAGCTGAGTCTTTGATAGGTTGGAACAAATGGGGCGACATTGCTCAACTATTCGATGTTGTATTCTGTTGCAAAGGTAGCACGGTGCAGCGGTGCTAAACCCTAAACTTCCTAGCATTCGAAACCCCTGTGCCCAAGCAACCTAGACCCTAAAACCACCTTCCAGCTAGGTGGGGCGATTCGCAGCTCGGCTTTTTGGCAGCTTGGCTCGGGCAGGTGCCTTCGCTGAAACTGGGGCCTGGTTCCCGGTTCTGTTGCTGGGTTTGTGGATCTGGCGGTGTTGGTTGTAGTAGCAGTTGTAGTGGCGGTGGAGGTGGTGGCAGTAGTCGTCGCGGCAGCAGCAGCAGCAGCAGCAGCCGAAGGACGACGGACCACCAACATGATAGCCACAAAAATCATGTTTGCCAAAACAGTAGACGTCACACTCGTCGTCAAGAAACTTCGGTCGATTAAACTGAACTTGAGGGGTCTGGCTAGGATTCAGATGGTTGAGGGCCTAGAGCGTTGCCAATGCTCTTGTCGGCTGGGGTCTTTGTGGATGTATGTGGCATGTAGAGTATTTAAACACGTGGGTCGGTTTTACCAGTGCTGTGAGTTCAGGTTCGGGCTTCAGCTGCTGTCATCTGGCTTGGAGTATTCCGTGATTTCGTCCGCAAAACTCTCACTGTCGATTTGCAGCGATGCTTCTAAGCTTGTATATCGGAGTCTTCGCACAGGCAGGAAGCTGGCAAGTGCAAGTTCATTTTAGGGTACCCCAAACCCTAAACCCTAAAGGGTAGCTTGCGGATGATTCGGTTTGTCCTGCGAGCTGTCACCGCTCAAGAGTATCGACTACAACAGAAGACCAGACTGGCGAGAGTGAACGCCCTTTGAAGTGGGTTTACTGTTTAGGGTTAGTGCAGCCTGTTTGTCCGCCTCCAGCTTCTCTTAGGCTCTTGCAGCTCACACCTGGGGCCAGCCTCTTCCTCTGGCCGCTTAGTTTCAGTGATTGTTTTTGTTGGGGGCTTTGAGTGTTTGCAGGGGGTTTGGGGTTTAGGGTTTCGCCATGTAGGTTTGTGTAGGGCACAGACGGAAGACGTGCACCGCTTGCATACAAAAGCCGGATCTGATTGTTCACGGAGTGCCACCAGCCCACCATCAGGGTATGAGGGTTTATGGTTTAGGGCAAAATGGATTGCTACCGACTTGCTATATAACTTAGATATATAAATACGTTTGAGGAGGGTTGCGCAGGGGTCTGCAATGCGTGTATGCAAGAAGCAGGCTCAGGCTGATATATATATATATATATTCACAGGACAGTTTCTGACGTGCTGTCCAGTCAACAACGTTGATAACTGTTCCAATTCAGGAATTGGCTTGAATCTGAAGGCTAAGGGGGGCGGATATTTTCTTGAAGTGGATGAGCCTAGTTGCTGCGGATCCGCATGCTGCGAGAAACCGAGGACTACTACCTTTATGCCGACTTCACAGAGAATCCGGGCAACATGTGCCTTGGAGATGTTGCAGCAAGCTGTTGCGACATGCAGCTCCACCTGAGTCCGAATCAACACCCTCAGCGTCATTCTCCTCCGGTGTTTTTCGGTACATGCGCATGCGCGCATACATTCACAAAAAAGCCCCTTAGCCTTAGGACTCTGTGTTTAAGTACCCTTTACGAACAGCCCCGATCTCTGCAACAGGTGCTACCTCCTTCCTGGAGAGGCCTGTGAGAAGTGCCTGGAGACCTGTCAGAGCCCGGATCCACCGGCCAGCGCGCAGCTCGACCTTTGATGGTTTGAGGTTGGGATCTCTCTTGCTGTCTTTGTCCAACGGGGTGTCCCAGGCATCCTTTTTGGGATTGAAGTTGTCAGGACGGCACGGTCGGTGTTGAATCTTAGTCCGGGATCGCCTCTTGTGTGCTGGACGAAGGTATTGGATGCCCGACGAGGCGTACTTCAACGGCCGACCCTGCGTTCCAGACAAGTCCATCTGCGGTCGGGAAGCTGCTCGACCTACAAATCATGATCAGCAGCTTTCAACAGTAAGGTTTGCATTTACCACTTCCGAAGCCAGTGTCCTAATGACGCCAGAAGCCAGGAAGTTAGAGGCCCAAACAGTCGGTTGTGTGATTGCAACTTTTTGAAGCCGTAAAATTGAAGGCATCCCTATGGCCCTATGAAGCAATCTTACAACGTAAGCCAAAATCCCTGTGTGCCGTTCGGGCTTGGGCATCTCAGGGCTTTGACGATGTCGTCGGGGCATTTCTGGGGAGGCCAGCGCTCGGTGCTGCTGCACAGACACGGGCCTCCGAATCGCTGAATGCTTGAAGAGTGTTCCAGCTCCAGTGCCACCAATGGCCTAGGAAGCCTCATGGCAAGGGTGTGATGTCTCCAATAACTCGCGCTACTTTTCTGATTGCTCACGCAGGAGTGTCGCGGAGGCCTGGAGGGAGATAGAGTACAAGGTGGCGGCTAACCCGGTGTCTGTGAACGTTTTCGATGCTCTCCTCAGCACACGGCGGCTGCAAATCGTTTAGCTGTAAAGTCCTTCGAAGAGTGGCTGAGCGCAAGCCACCGAAGCCTCTTGCACAGCTTTCAATAGCTGCACATTTTAGACTCCCTGGGCACAGAATTTAAGGCCACGGTGATGCCAGGGCACTGTTTGAAGTCATGCCTGGTCACGGACAATACGTTGTACTTTCATGAGCCCCAGTGCGAGATGAGGCATGCTGCACGAGCAATTCACAAACCAGATTGAATCGGTTCGCTTCTCCGAAACGGGGAGGTTCCCGCTGCAGTTCAACACAATCCAGACGAAAGCTGCTCCAGGCTTCAACGAGGAGAGAGTTGCTGCTTTAGGGAACTTCTCCCGGGGCATCTCGAACGGCCACATGTGCCTGATGCGCCATCGGCAAAGCTTGGCGGATCGGAGGTGCGCAGAGTTCCGGATAAGCATGCAAGCAAAACAGAGCCTTTCGGGAGAAGTGCCTTATGTCATGGAGAGCGACTTGTTTACTATCCCGACGAGTTCGCTGAAGCCGACACTGTGAATCCTCTGAAGCGGACTCCCGGACCCTGACGCGCGCTCTTTGCCCAGCGGCCCTTGTTCATCTAGCACGGAATTGCGAGGTTGCTTAATCTCTCATCGCCGGTCCAGATCCTGAAATTCGTCAAAGTCTAAACTCTGCCCTCAACCTACCAGGGGATAAATTCCTAAGCCAACACCCCAAGCCCTGGTTTTGCGCAGCTACCAGGCCAGAGGGACCTTGAGTTTCGGGATCCCCGAACCTTCGAGAGCTCTCTGCCCTTAAGATCCCAGGGGGCCATAACTACCCCCCAACCGTCGGAAGCCCATAAATCCTGAAGTCCGGAAAGTTAAGCCCCAAACCGAGGCTCCAGATCTTCACTGCCTTTAAAAGCCCCCATCCCCAATCCCGACCTTAACCCCCAAAAGAACCTACCTTTTTTAAGGACTTATAATTACAAAGAAACTACTAAGGAACCCTAAGAAGGTAGGTCATCTGGGGTCCAGGTAAAAACCCTCATTTTCCTCAAAAACCCCACTGCCGGGGACCAAGGCCAAGGCAGCCCTCCCCCGAGAGCCGCAAAGTGAACACGGAGTCGCTGCCGGAGCCAATCCTCACATCTTCGGATGGGATCAGTTTAGCGGTTGAGGGTTTCGGGTTTAGGGGTTTAGGGTTTAGGGGTTTTTGGGCAGGGTTTAGGGATTTCGGTGGGGCGGAGATGAGAGATGTTGCGGGTTCCGGGTTCTGGGGTGTTGTGCTTGAGGATTCGTGGCATTGTTGTTGCGACTTGGCGCTGAGGCTAGAGGCGCAGGTGGATCCCTGACACGTTATCCCAGAGTCAAGAGCAGGTTAGGAAGGAGTGTGAAACCCTGCGGGCCCAAAGTATCGGGATGTTAGAGCCATATTCTGCAGCTGCCGATGTTGAACATACTTCGCTGCTGTCGGGTATGGGTGCTCCCTGATGAGAAGAAGGGCAGGAGCATGCTTATACCCATCCGTGATGGCATTCGCAAAAAAAGGATGAGCCGTAACAGAGCAACAGATCGTTGCTGGTCAACAAGGAACCAAGGCGGACCCGATGCTACTAAAATAAATGCTCGGCATCCCTGTGAGGAGGTCAGCTGGAAGCCCGCTGCCGATTTTGGAAAAGCCGTTTCCTGAGTTCAGAGAGGGTGCTGCCCCCTGATATCACATGTTTCAGGATCTGCAGGTCTTTCAGTGTCCCGGCTTGAGGGTATAGGTGTCATCGATCATAGTCTTCCCGGTCATTCAGAGCCACGTGGATTGATTGAGGAGTGTAGACTAGGGATGGCAAGAGCAGAGACTAGCAAAAGGTACGGAAAGCTCTGAAACACTACCAATATGCATGGTGTTTTTCTAAGGCGCCACGGCCACCCAGGCTTCGGCGCTTCGGGGTTGGGGACGTTGTTTCTTGGAGCTGCCAGCACACAGCATTGGGAATAGGTTGTTGAGTTGAATAGTTCCGGTGGATCTTGTAATGCCATTTCTACTTGTGGCTTGGGTTTTGGCATGTTCCTGAATCCAGTGCCCGAAGTCTGGTCATGTTGCAGTTCGGCATGGAGTGCAGTGGCCAATGAATTTCCTTTTGCTCGATGGTGTTTGCTGCGGCATTTGTGAGAAACAGATGCTCATAGAACCAGCTCTGCTGGAACACTTATTGCAACTGCTTTTGACTTGACAATGCCGTTTTGTTATTCCCATCGCGCACGCAGCTACCGTTTCAGTTTCTATGATGGTTGACAGGGTCGTCCTCGTCGTCATTTTGCAGGATGTTGTTGCTCTTGCCGTCTTGCCGTAACAAGTGTTTCCAGTGGCACAAGCATCAAACAGTCCTTCGAAGACAGCTGCTAATGCCACATCTACTGCACCAGGTTAGTTGTCGCTGTCGCCGTCGTCGAGTTTTTCGTCGTCGCCGATGTGGGCATGATCATTGCTATCGATGGTCTTGCGACGACGGCACGCTCCAGTGTCCACACCACATTCCTGCTCAGGGAGCACGTTGTTTTGGCAACCAAAACCCTAAACCCTAAACCTTAAACCCTAAACCCAAAACCTGCCACTGCAGCTTTCCAGGACAATTCGTTCTGCCGGTGCTCGAGCCAGGGCACCCGAGGTGCCGGGGTTGGAGTCTCGTTGGCAGGGTTTTCCGGTTTAGGGTTTAGGGGTTTTAGGGTTTTAGGGTTTAGGGTTTGGGGTCTTAGGGTTTTAGGCATTGGGGTTTAGGGTTTAGGGAGTATTGATGGCAGCTGCTTGAGGCTCAGCTCTACTGTTGAGCCTGAGCTCGTGGGCAAACACAGGCATGAACGGACCCCGAAGCAGCCAGCACCCTACCACCCTCCAAATTTGGAATGCCTGTTTCTACAGGGCTCTGTGCCTTCCTTTCTGAGAGGCTCCTGCTCCCGAAGCATGACAGCCGGGCGCAAAGTGGGCTTGGGGTGCTGTTGACTGCATCCTCCTTTCCTAGCGCTACAACTGATAGCTGCTTGAGCAGTGCTGGAATTCCTAAAGATAGGTTCATAAGCCATGTCAATGAAGCGCCTGTGCCCACGGCTGCTGAATCGCAGGTTCCCGCGGCTGAGTCCTGGGTGGAGGGCGTGATTTAAATCCCTTGTTCATAGGATACTAGGTTCCTGCACGTGCCGGAGTTGAGGCAGCTGTAAAGAACAACAGTGCGAATTTCGGGAGATAAACCAGATTTGAAGGCATTTCGGGATTTTGTTTATAAGCAGTTTGCTCGTTAGTGTTCGAAACTTCGACACCCTTGTCCTCAACATTCTCGACAAGCATATATCTTGCGTTGAGGGGTCACTATCAACGTCTCTAAGAGTCTGCCCTGCCATGCTCTGTAGCCCACCTCAGCGAGAACGCCTGCTTGACAGGCTCACACTTACGGTCTGAAGTGACCTTAAACCCCTAGGCCCTAAACTGCCCTAAACCCTATAAACCCAACACGCTGAAGAGGAACAAGCGTTCAGGGCCTGGAACGGAGAACCCGGTCTTCCAAACAAAAAGCTGAAGAACAGCTGACCTGTTGGCTGTGCAGGACTGCATTGTAGTAGCTTCTGCGCTAGCACACTTCTGATGTGCTGAGTGGACAGAGGCTGCTTTAGCATGGCTTGGGGCAGCGTCTTGATTCGTGCTAAGTCTGGTCCTGAGTTCCGGTGTTCTTCCCCCACCGCGCCTCGGACCCTCACCACCTCAGTAAGTGCCCGCAGCAATCTCCGAGTAGCCGCAGCCTTGAGCTGGAAACCCAGGCCCGACACCCCGAACACCCGCTCGTTCCTCAGCCGTAAAGCCGAATCCCATAAAACCCCTCAAACGTTCCATGCGGCGTAGCGGCAGCCGAAATGATGGTCGACAGCCTGCCCTCTGCCATCGTCGAAATCGAGGGCAGCATTTTGTCCAGCAGTCGCAGTCCATGATCATCCCGAACCGGGTTTAGGCCAAGCTTACGCACCATGAGTGGCGGAAAAAAAACAGTTGTAAACCAAGCATTTTCCTAATTTCACGACTATGTACACAGATGCATGCATGCAAGTACGTATGGGCGTACGTATATGCTTACTTATGTGCATACCTATGTATGTACCTGTATGTATGCATGTATGTATGTATGTATGTATGTATGTATGTATGTGTGTGTGTATATGTATGTATGTATGTATGTATGTATGTATGTATGTATGTATGTAAGCATGTAAGCATGTCAGCACATAAGCATGTAAGCATGTATTTATGTATGTATGCATGTATGCATGTAATGTCATGTCATGTCATGTCATGCCATGCCATGCCATGTCATG